ATGAAACACCCTGTAGCTATCTTAAATAAACAAAAGTGTCTTTTTTTTTTTTTTTTTTTTTACAAAAACAGAGCAGGAAGGCAAAACAGGTCCCCTCTCTAGGGTATTGGTACTTGTGGGAGGGAGAGGATATGAAAAAAGGATAGGAGGTGAAATATTGTATACACACTGTGTAAAAGGAAAAAAGATCTGATGAAAACTATTCCAGAAATGGGGCAGGATAAAGAGAATGATGGAGGGGTGAATTCAGCTATGATATTTTGTAAGAACTTTTGTAAATTTCACAAAACAGTGACAACAATAACAAAAATAAAATTTTAAAAAGAAAAACTTTAGTAATTTGTGGAAAAATGTTTGCAGATATATCCCACACATGATACTGAGTTGTCACGGTTTAAATTTTCCTATTGTGCCTCCTCTCATCGAAGTATTATTGGACTGTTTACAGCTAGATTTTTGATACCTGATTTCTTCAGTTTCTCCTTGTAACACTCTTCAATTTCATATCAGAATTTAAATACTTTTTAATTTATCTATCAGTTATATTGATAGATAAGAAAATAATATTCTAACTCTGAGAAAAAGATGTTCTGCCTATGATTTGAATAGAGAACTTTCTAACTGACTTTGTTTATTTCTTTTTCAGAAGCAGGCAATAGATCTGAGACCTGTTTCTGTATATTTTAGTGTTCTGACTGAAATCTCCCTCCATTTCTCTAGCTCTCACTTTAATAGGCTTCTACATACTTAGTGAACAGATTCAGCCATTATATCCAAGTTGAAGACATTTTTATGGTGAAATTAAAAAAAACACAATAATGTGAAATGAGTTTCCAGACCTTGCCCCCACATTGATTGACTAGTACCTCTGCTCTGACCTTTTGCATAGGGTGACTGCCAATGGCAGCACATTGAACATTTACGGAGCTCTCACATCCGACACGGGGAAATACATGTGTGGCTACAAATCCTGCTGGAGAGGAAGACCGGATATTTAACTTGAATGTCTATGGTAAAATGAAATATCACCCACTGTTGACTATGCTACATTAAGAGGTTTTGGTGGGCCACAGGTGCCTGGAGCATTTAGTTTTTAGTTTTAAATCTAATGCCACAGCTGTGTCCCTTCTCTCTCTCTCTCTCTCTCTCTCTCTCTCTCTCTCTCTCTCTCCTCTCCTTCCTTCCCTCTCTCTCTCCCTCTCTACTTCCCGCTCTCCCTTCTCTCTCACAGTCCCCTAAAATTAGAGGCAATAAAGAAGAAACAGAGAAACTGATGATTTTGGTGGATGCTTCAGTAAATATCGAATGCAGAGCCACAGGGACCCCTCCCCACAGATAAACTGGCTGAAGAACGGCCTCCCTCTGCCTCTCTCCTCCCACATTCGTTGCTGTCAGCAGGACAGGTTATCAGGTCAGGTTTTATTGTGTGTAATTTCTTAAACATTGACGAGAACAGTGATTGCTCACTTTTCCTTCAAGAAGTGCTTTTTTTAAGCTTTTTCACTGCTCTGTCAGTAGAGGGAGGATACAGGATATAAGATTCAAGTGGGTTTTTTATTCTTTTTTGAATCTCGTGTTTTGTAAATTGGGTAAGTGGGGCTTTCATAGACCGCTGTATCAGATATGTAATTCCATGAGCTACTATTTTAGCTAAAATATTACATGGCAAGATGGTAAGACATACCCACTCTAATTATGTGATTTGTGTTGGCGTCATTCTCTATTAATGTATACTTGAAAAATACTCACTCTTTAAATTGTGTTATGTTTTCAGTGGTTTATCATCACTGTATAATTACATTCACAGAATCAGTTGCATTTGAGGCATCTGTATTTTGTGATGGATGGTTACAAGCATTGTAACTAAAACTTCTCAAAATAAGCACCTTCTATAATCTATAAACCATAATGTTTTATTTTTATGTCGAATGGGATCAAGTTATGAAATGTTAAATCAATTTATTTTTCAGGATTGTGAGAGCTCAGGTGTCTGATGTAGCTGTGTACACTTGTGTGGCCTCCAACAGAGCAGGGGTGGATAATAAGCACTACAGCCTTCAAGTGCTGGTAGGTCGCACAAATGACCTTGGTACTTTATTCTGTGTCCAGTATTAAGCAACAAGCATATCTCTAGAAATTGATTTCTCTATGAAAAATAATTGCTGAAAACCTGTCTCCCTAACTAGGGAAGAAGGTTTTCTCCCAAAGTGTCCAGTTTATTGGACCATACTGTCTCTCTATCAAAATAATTCTTCTGATCCAGAGTTTTGCACTAAATCAAATGTAGTTTCTAAAATAGCATTTTGATCTAGTCACAAGACTAGTCTGTCATACAAACAAAAAGTCAAATCTTTTCTCTAATAATATTATCAGTTCATTTAGAGTATTTAAAATATGAATAGATACATGTGCATGTGTTTATCTCTGTGTATATGTGCATCTAGGAAGAACTCAAAACCTTTATATTTGAAATATTGAGGTTTGCTGCTCCATACCTCAGTACATGAAACTTACTCTAGAACTTGAGATTATTTTTTCTGCATGAGTAGTTTTAAATGTGCTGTTTGGAACTATTATCATAACTAGTATAACATAACAAAGAAACAAATTTAACAAGTTGAAAGATCATCAAAATTTAGAACACGTTGATTATATATTCCATGAGAAAACAATTTTGAGGTTTCATTGCTAATATTTGGAAGATTAATAATTAGCATGCATAATAGATGTTTTTGTAGTCACTAATTTGTCATATGCTGTGAAAGTATATTTCACTACTATAGAAAAATTATAAGGTTATTTAAATTTGTCACAAATTACAATAGCTGTATAAATTTTGCCTGTTTCATTTCCAGTGCCACCAGATATGGACAGTGCAATGGGAACAGAGGAAATCACGATCGTGAGAGGCAGTTCCACCTCTATGACATGCTTCACAGATGGAACCCCACCCCCCAGTATGTCCTGGCTCAGAGATGGCCAGCCTCTGGGGCTTGACACCCACCTAACGGTCAGCACGCAAGGAATGATCCTTCAGCTCATCAAAGCCGAGACTGAAGATTCAGGACGGTACACCTGCATTGCCTCCAATGATGCTGGAGAAGTCAGCAAGCACTTTATTCTAAAGGTCCTGGGTATGTAAACATTCTGTCAAATACAAAATAGTTTGAAAGTCGTAAAGTTAAGTTTTAGTAAATAAGTATAATTCTTAGAACCATTTGCTGTAGAACAAGTTTTGTAAACTTTATTTCTATTTCTGCTTTAATTAAGTTTACTTTCATCTGAAATACTAAATTTAATGTTTTATCTGTGAAAAGATCAGAACTCTACTCATAAGATTAATTCACTGAAAAAAATCTTATAATCCAGTTAATAGATAACATTTCAACTTTTTCCAAGGACTAAAACATATTTGATAAGAAATTTTGATTTAGAAAAGATAATATTTATAGCATTGTATGTTATCCCAACGTTTTAAATGATCCAATCTGTAGGTCATGGTTGGAAAAGTCTTTTCAAATAGTCTGTTTGCTCTCATGTGCCTTTAAAGTAAATATTTAAAATTTTTATTCCAACATTTTACACACAAACAAATAGCATAAAGAGAATCACATCATTTTCCTGAAGCAAAAACTTTGACCTCAAAAGAGAAAGGAAGATGAATGAAGCAAGCTAGTTCAATAATCAAGACTTTTTTGGAATGTTGTTTTTTGCTATACTATAGGGAAAGTGCCAGGCTCCTTTCATAGCACAGAAATGCACCCTTCAGAGAACAGCAAAAATAATTTTGACAAGTCTTAGGAGGGGCTAGCTTATGTTTTCAGAGTGCTTTGTAATCATTCTCAGAGCACATATTCAAATTTAATTATTTATACAACTTTAAAAGTCTGCTTCATCTCTAGTTAAACTTTGTGATAACAAAGGTATGCATCTTACTATTGCTGTCTTTCCAGTACTTAGCATGAATCTGACTCTTAATGTGTGTTTGTTGGATTGAATTGAACAGAACTTGTACTTTTGAGCTGCATTAATGGAAGTTTTAAGTATTGATGGAAGTGGAACAATATTTAAAACAAAGTGAAATACTCTGTTAATGCTGGGACTTCAGAGAATGAAGAGTGGTAGTTGAAGAGATTCTGCAGGATAGTTAATGCAAAAGACAAAAGAAAATGTGTCTGAAGGGGTGGAGAATGGGTAACAAATCCCCATACATGATTCATGGAAAATGCAAACAATAGATGATATAAGATGATCCTATGCCTCATTATTCACACATTAATTCACACTATTAATTGTTGAGTATACGTTATGTGCTAGGATGTTTCTCATCATCATTGAGCAGATAATTACGAATACCTGCCATGTGATACATTGTGTGGTGGATACTCAAATGCATCACAGAATAAGAAAGATGAAGTCATGACCCTCAAGTTTCTACATCTGGGGAAGCAAAGATATTGAACAAGTAACGGTTTTTGGTTGTGATGAGGCTCATAGATCAGCATAACATTCTGTGGGTGGTGAATTCCACACTAGATCTCCTCGAGCATAAATCTGAGCCCTGAATGGGCAGTAGAGTGAGTGGGGATTTAGAGACGTTTGCCTGTCTCTCACCTAGAGATGATGGAGCTTAAGTTTTGACTTTGTATTCACGATGAACTGAATAGGAAAGGAATAAACATGACTGAAACTATAGTGGGCAGAGACCAAATTGTAAGGGCCTTAGAAACATTTGAAGCAATTCAGACTTTGTTAAAAGGCAAGGAGAATCATAAGAAGGAATATGTTACAGCCGATTTCATTTCCAAATACTCTTGGGTGATACAGTGAAGAAAGACTTGAAGAAATTGTATTCATACATTGATGATACAGCAGCCTTGTCTACCATGTGACAGTGAAGAAAGAGAGAAAGAATATTCTGTAGGACTTCCAGAATCCAGAATCAGAGTCATAGAACCAGTGCATTGCTGAAGCAAATGAAGGAGAAAAGCAAGAATGATACTGTTGGAGTAGGATACTAAGAACAGTCTTCCCAGCAAAGAGTTTATAAGGAATAATGCTTCCTTAAAACAGATTTGAAAACTGGCTCAGCTAGAAGATGAGAAATTTCAGCATCTGTTAAAAATTCAATGCCGTTATATTTTGAAAAGCTCTTTACATAGAGCAGTGCTACTAGTCAGAATGCAAATGTTTTAGCTTAATTCTGTCCATGTGGTGGGAGGTGCCATGGTATATTAGTGGTTCTGCAAAAGTAAAGTTTGGCTAAGAATGGCAAAACCAAGAAAGAGCAGCATACAAAGCAAAGCTAAGTGGGATTGACAGGGTCTGGCCACAATGGCCTTTGTCACCACATGAAGAAGTTTGGTTTTTAATTCTGTAACAATGAGAAATCATTAAAAGTTTTAATAAGTGGAATGGCATGAGTAGATCTGCAGCTTGAAATCAAAGACCACTCTACTGCCAGTGAAAAGCTGTTCAAAGCAGGGCAGGAATGGATTCTGAGAGTCTAGTGTATCACTAGAAATTGTGTTTGGCTGTGAATAAATATGCTGACTTTAAGAAAGAACTTTTTGTTCTTGTGCTATGGGTTGAACCCAGGGCTTTATGTTTTTCAAGCAAGCACTCTACTACTGAACTACATCCTCAGCCCTAAGAACTTTTGTTTTTCTCCTTGAGTAGATTTGGAGATTAGCTGTTGTTGCATGGGCTTAGCAATTCAGATCTTTGCAGTCTTTTAGCCTTTCTGTCATGGTTCATCAATGATCGTACAATGTCTGCTCATCCCCAGTATAATGCAGTGGTCCTGTATTGTGAAAATGACAGAGCAGTAAAAATCAGGAGGGCCTTTTTCTAAGGAGTTACCCCTTTACAGACTTCCTTTAGTGTGTGATGGGGAGAGGGATGGTACTGGGGCTTGAACTCAGGACCTCATGCTTAGCTAGGTAGGTGCTTTACCTCTTGAGTCACTCTGCCAGCTCTACAGACTTTCCTAGGAGTTCCACAAAAACCACATCTTGTTGGTCAAAAGCTTCACACATCTGCTGTCTTCTAAAGAAACTGTGATATGTATTTTTTAAATATATTTCTAGACCCAACAAAATTATGGTATTCTAATAAGAAAGGAAGAAATAACTAATAGGTAGGCACCTACAACCAGGAAGAAAGAGACATTAGTTCAAGTAAACAGTACTGTAGCTCAGATTGAAGTGATGAAGGTAGAAGTAAAAGGTATTTTCTAGAAATAATTGCAGGTAAAAGTATTAGGACTTGGCTGTGGATTTGTACATGGGGAGTAATGAAGAAGAGATCAAGGATGGCCCCTAGTTTCTGGCTTATGTGAAATAGATAAAGGGATTGTAAGAAAAGGACCAGGTTTTAGGGAGTAAGACCACAGGCTCAGTCTATATACATACTGAGTTTGAAATGGTTTTAAAATATCCAAATGGAAATGTTCATCTGATGGTTAATTTTATGAATCTGGACTTCAGAACCCAGATTTAGACGGGAACTGTAAGTTCTAGAGTCCTCAGAGTGTGGACAACTCCACTTTGCCCCAAGTATAAGGTATATGGGCCAAATATAAAATAATTTGCAATCACTTACCACATATAAGATCTAAAGATTGGAGTTTGAACTAGTAGGGATTATGTTGCTATTGTTACTGTTGTTTTAAACGTAGTGATCATAAACGTGAGGGGTGAGGCAATGTCTAATTAACCTTTGTATCCAGTAAGTAATAAATAAAAGGAATAAAGGATTAATTGTAGTCAAATGGAGAATTGCATAAGTGCTTTCAAGTGATACATCATGCTATGGAAATGAAAGAGACCCACATTTTACAGTTAGTTGAAAGAATCAAGAAAGAATTTCTGATTTTTACAAATAAACTTACTGACATTTATGTAACCTTGGTAACATTTCAGCGTGATTCAGTTATGGAGTGCTGGTACTATTAGGAGCAATAAAGAACTGAGCTTGTTGAGAGAAAGAAGTAGCCTAATTTGAAGTCTAATTAAAAGTAATAGGAATACAAAGTTAGATTAAAACCAGGTTGCAGAACTTTGGAAGCCCTGATCAGGCTTTTTGTTTAATTCAGTAAGCAACATGTAGCCATTAAAATGTTTTAATTGGGCAATCTTAGATCAATCTTAAACTTCACTTAAAATACATTTTGACAGCAATATGAAAGCTAGATAGTATAAAAAGAGGTTATGTGACACAATAATTAAGAAATTCTGACTTCTTAATTGTAATGCGAAAAAAATGAGAACAAGAAAACAGTTTTAGGACACAGATTTTTAATGACAATACCAACAGCTATCGTACAGATTGTAGCAGTGATAACTTTTTAAGCTTTTAATTATAAAACAGAACAGATGCAGAAATCCAAAAGAAATGTGTGGTTTGTCTCATTGGGTCCCAGTAATCCTGTTAGGTTTGTAATCTTTCTATCTCCATTTTGGAGATTTGCCTGGTTCCACTAAGCAAATAATTGTTGGTGCTGAGAGTTAAACTCAGTCTGACTCAAGATCCTGTGCTATGAGTCACTCTTCCGTGTGCCTGATTTAAAACAAAACCCCCAGCTAACCCTCGGTGCTGTCCAATGGTTCTTTTGACTGCCTCATAAAATCGTAAGCTGAAAACTTGAGTATGGAATTTTCATTGAAAACCTGAACCATCATTGCAGGGGAGTCTGTTCAGGACTACACTTAGACCAAAAGAACCTTGATGTTTCTTCCCAATGTTTAGATTCTTTAACCTTCTCTTGAGAAAGGTAATTTTAGAAGCATACATAATAAAAGAGAAAATTACTCCTGCGCAGATGTAACAAATGTGTTTTGTGCAGAAGTTCTGTCTACATCTTTTGTGACAAAGAATAATGACAGCTGTGTTTAATTATTTCACTTTCTGGGTTCTTATCAATTTATATCACATGAATATAAATTCCAGTTGGATTTGCTTTTCTAGTTTTTCTAATCATTTGTGTTTTATGAAACAGCAGATTTATTTTGCTATTATCTTTGATTCCCTTTAATAGAACCACCTCACATTAATGGATCTGAAGAACCTGGAGAGATATCAGTAATTATTAATAACCCACTTCAACTTCCCTGTATTGCTTATGGAATACCAGCTCCTAAAATCACCTGGATGAAAGATGGCCGACCCCTTCTACAGACAGATCAGGTGCAAACTTTAGAAGGAGGAGCTCTTCTTCGAATATCTAGTGCTCAGGTAAGTGTCATTTTTCATACACTTATTTTACCCTCACTTAAATTGCATGCTTACTAATATATAAGAACTGCTAAATAGTTATGTACTTTGCACCTGGGTACGTCACAGTTCTGTACTTCACCAAGGTAGATTGCATCTATGATACGTGATTGGGTCAACTAGGAAGATGAAGGAGTACCTAATATAAACTCTAAAAAAAGAAGGTACCTTCCCATTACTTACGCGTGTTTTCACAGCTCGAGTGTTAGTATATTTACTGAAGCTCTTAGCTTTTGCATATAGTTCTTTATCCTAACCAGCAAGATGCACTCCAACATACATTCATATGGAATTCAAAGAGTACTGATTATCTCCAAGATGAACTAGCAGACATGAAAACTGGAGGACATGCAATTTTTCAGACAATGGTGGGGAGGTGAATTCAACTAAGATACACTGTAAGAACCTTTGTGACTGTCTCAGTGTACCCCAGTAGCAATAAAAAAATTAAAAAAATAATATGTGACTAAACATTTTTTTTCAAGCAATGATCAGTTTATAAAATTGGACGGGCTTCTTTTGTTTACATGTTAAGGAAATTGATCTGAAATATGAATACATTAAAGTAAATGTATTGCACTTTATAAACCTGTTTTTTTTTCCATGGCTTCTTACTGTTTTATAATTGGTTCCATATGTGCATACAATGCTTGGGAAATTTCTCCGCCGTCCCCACCCTTTTACACCCCACTTGCCCCCTCCGCTTTCCCCCCCCCTCAATACCCAAAGCAGAAACTAATTTTGCCTTATCTGCTAATTTTGTGAAGAGAGAGTATAAGCCATATATAGGAAGGAACAAGGGTTTTTTTGCCTGTTGAGATAAGGAAATGCTTTACAGGGAGTTGACTCACATTAATTTGCCTGTGCGTGTGTGTTACGCTTCCCTGGTTAATCTTTTTTGTTATTTTTTTTTCATTTTCCTTTTATTTTCATATGCGCAGTACAAGGCTTGGTTCTTTTCTCCCCCTGCCCCCACCCCTCCTTACCACCCACTCGCCCCCTCCTCTCCCCCATCAATACCCAGCAGAAACTATTTTGCCCTTATTTCTAATTTTGTTGTAGAGAGAGTATAAGCAATAATAGGAAGGAACAAGGGTTTTTTGCTGGTTGAGATAAGGATAGGCTATACAGGGAGTTTGACTCACAAGTTAATTTCTGTGGCGTGTGTGTTACCTTCCTGGGTTTAATTCTTTTTTTATTTTTTTTTTCATTTTTTTTATTATTCATATGTGCATACAAGGCTTGGTTCATTTCTCCCCCCTGCCCCCACCCCCTCCCTTACCACCCACTCCGCCCCCTCCCCTCCCCCCCCAATACCCAGCAGAAACTATTTTGCCCTTATTCTAATTTTGTTGTAGAGAGAGTATAAGCAATAATAGGAAGGAACAAGGGTTTTTGCTGGTTGAGATAAGGATAGCTATACAGGGATTGACTCACATTGATTTCCTGTGCGTGGGTGTTACCTTCTAGGTTAATTCTTTTTGATCTAACCTTTTCTCTAGTTCCTGGTCCCCTTTTCCTATTGGCCTCAGTTGCATTTAAGGTATCTGCTTTAGTTTCTCTGCGTTAAGGGCAACAAATGCTAGCTAGTTTTTTAGGTGTCTACCTGTCCTCACCCCTCCCTTGTGTGCTCTCGCTTTTATCATGTGCTCATAGTCCAATCCCCTTGTTGTGTTTGCCCTTGATCTAATGTCCACATATGAGGGAGAACATATGATTTTTGGTCTTTTGGGCCAGGCTAACCTCACTCAGAATGATGTTCTCCAATTCCATCCATTTACCAGCGAATGATAACATTTCGTTCTTCTTCATGGCTGCATAAAATTCCATTGTGTATAGATACCACATTTTCTTAATCCATTCGTCAGTGGTGGGGCATCTTGGCTGTTTCCATAACTTGGCTATTGTGAATAGTGCCGCAATAAACATGGTGTGCAGGTGCCTCTGGAGTAACCAGTCTTTTGGGTATATCCCCAAGAGTGGTATTGCTGGATCAAATGGTAGATCATGTCAGCTTTTTAAGTAGCCTCCAAATTTTTTTCCAGAGTGGTTGTACTAGTTTACATTCCCACCAACAGTGTAAGAGGGTTCCTTTTTCCCCGCATCCTCGCCAACCCTGTTTGTTGGTGGTGTGCTGATGATGGCTATTCTCACAGGTGGTGACGGTTGGACATCTTAGCGTGGTTTTAATCTTGCATTTCTTTAATTGCTAGAGGATGGTGAGCATTTTTTCATGTGTTTTCTGCCATTTGACTTTCTTCTTTTGAGAAGTTCTGTTAGTTCACGTTGCCCATTTCTTTATTGTGTCATTAGTTGTAGGGGATTTGTTTTTAAGTTCCATAATATTCTGGTCCAGTCCTTTGTCTGTTGTTATAGTTTGGATACTCTTCTCTCCACTTTCTGTTGGGTAGTTCTCTTCAGTTTAGAGACCATTTCTTTTATGAACAGAAGCTTTTTAGCTTTATGAGGTCCCATTTATCTATGCTATCTCTTAGTTGCTGTGCTGCTGGGGTTTCATTAAGAAAGTTCTTACCTTATACCTTACTAACTCCAGAGATTTCGTACTCTTTCCTGTATCAACGTTTAGAGTTTGTGGTCTGATATTAAGATCCTTGATCCATTTGAGTTAATTTGGCATAGGGTGATATACATGGATCTAGTTTCAGTTTTTTGCAGACTGCTAACCAGTTTTCCCAGTAGTTTTTGTTGAAGAGGCTGCTATTTCTCCATCGTATATTTTTAGCTCCTTTGTCAAAGACAAGTTGTTATAGTTTGTGGCTTCATATCTGGGTCCTCTATTCTGTTCCACTGGTCTGCATGTCTGTTTGTGCCAGCACCATGCTGTTTTTGTTGCTTACTGCTTTGTAATATAGTTTGAAGTCGGTATGTGATACATTGTTCTTTTGACTAAGTATGCCTTGCTATTCGTGGCCTCTTGTGTTTCCATATAAATTTCACAGTAGATTTTTCAATCTCTTAATGAATGTCATTGGAATTTTGATGGGAATTGCATTAAACATGTAGATTACTTTTGGGGAGTATTGACATTCTTACTATGTTGATTCTTACCAATCCACGAGCATGGGAGATCTCCCACTTTCTATAGTCTTCCTCAATGTCTTTCTTCAGAAGTGTATATTTTCCTTGTGAGTCTTTCACATCTTTTGTTAGGTTTACACCTAGGTATTTGATTTTTTTGAGGCTTTTGTAAATGGAATTGTTTTCATACTTCTTTTTCAGTTTGTTCATTATTAGTGTATAGAAATGCTAATGATTTTTCTATGTTGATTTTATATTCCTGCTACCTTGCTATAGCTATTGATGATGTCTAGAAAGCTTCTGAGTAGAGTTTTGGGTCTTTAAGTATAGATCATGTCGTGCTACAAATAGGGATTTTGACAGTTTCTTACCTATTTGTATTCCTTTTATTCCTTCTTCTTGCCTAATTGCTTTGGCTAGGAATTCCAGTACTATGTTGAATGGAGTGGAGATAGTGGGCATCTTGTCTGGTTCCTGATTTTAGAGGAGGGATGGTTTCAGTTTTTCTCCGTTAAAGTATAATGCTGGCCTGTAGGTTGTCATATATAGCTTTTATAATTTGAGGTACTTTCCTTCTATTCCTAGTTTTCTTAGAGCTTTTATCATGAAATGATGTTGGATCTTATCGAAGGCTTTTTCTGCACCTATTGAGATGATTCAAGTGGTTTTGTCTTTGCTTCTGTTAATGTGGTTTATTACGTTTATTGATTTCGTATGTTGAACCACCCCTGCATCCCTGGGATGAAGCCTACTTTGGTCGTAGTGAATATAATTTTTGATGTGTTGCTGAATTCGGTTTGCCATTAGTTTGCTTGATGATTTTTGCATCAACTGTTCATTAAGGAGATTGCCCTATAGTTCTCCTTTTTGGAGGTGTCTTGCCTGGTTTTGGATAATGTAATGGCTTCATAAAATGTGTTAGCAGTTATCCTTCCCTTTCTATTTCATGGAACCGTTTAAGGTAGGGTTTGGTATCAGTCTCTTTAAAGTCTGATAAATTCAGCAGAGAATCCATCAGGTCCTGGACTTTTCTTTGTTGGGAAGACTCTTGATTGCTGCTTCAATTTTCATTTTGTGTTATAGATCAATCAGGTGATTAATTTCCTCTTGGTTCAGTTTTGGATGATCATATGTATCTAGAAATCTGTCCATTTTTTCAGATTTTCAAATTTATTCTTGAATATTGTTCTCGAAGTAGTCTTGATGATTTCCCTGGACTTCATGGTGTTTGTTGTTATCTCCCCTTTTGCATTCCTTGATTCTACTAATTGTTTTTTTCTCTCAGGTTTGCCAGGGGTCTATCGATCTTGTTTATTTTTTCAAAGAACCAACTTTTGTTTCATTAATTCTTTGTGCGGTTTTTTTTGGTTTTCTATTTCGTTGATTTCAGCTCTATTTTTATTATTTCTCTCCTTCTATTCTTTTGGGATTGCTTTTCTTGTTTTTCTAAGATTGAGATGTATCATTAGGTCATTGATTTGGGATCTCTTAGTCTTTTTTAAATATTTGTACTCATGGCTATAAACTTTCCTCTCAGGACTGCCTTAGCTGTGTCCCATAGGTTCCAGCTAGTTGTGTTTTCATTTTCATTGACTTCCAGGAACTTTTTAATTTCCTCTTTTATTTCATCGATGATCCATTGTTCATTAGTAATGAGTTATTTAGTTTCCAGCTGTTTGCATGTTTTGTCTTTACTTTGTTGTTGAGTTCTACTTTTACTGCATTGTGATCAGATAGTATGCACAGTATAATTTCTATTTTCTTATATTTGCTGAGGCTTGCTTTGTGCCTAGGATATGATCTATTTGCAGAAGGTTCCGTGGGCTGCTGAAAAGAATTTATTATGTAGAGGTGGATGAAATGTTCTTGTAGACATCAAGTAGGTCCATTTGATCTATTGTATATTTTAGATCTTGGATTTCTTTATTGATTTTTTGTTTGGCGATGACCTATCTATTGATGATATGGGTGTTTAAGTCTCCCACAACTACTGTGTCCGGCTTAATATGCTTTTAGGTCTTTCAGTTATGTTTGATGAAATTGGGTGCGGTTGACATTGGGGTGCATAGGTTGATGATTTATATTTCCTTTTGTCTATTTCCCTTTTATTAGTATGGAATGTCCTTCTTTATCTCATTTGATCAATGTAGGTTTGAAGTCTACTTGTCAGAGATAAGTATTGCTACTCTGCCTGTTTTCGGGGGCCATTGGCTTGGTAAATCTTCTTCCATCCTTTCATCCTAAGTCTATGCTTATTTCTGTCGGTGAGATGGGTGTCCTGTAAGCAACAAATTGTTGGATCTTCCTTTTTAATCCATTTCGTCAAGCGGTGCCTTTGATGGGAATTAAGTCCATTAATTCCTCTCTTACAGCCTTCAATATTCTTTCCCTAGTTTCTGACACTTGTTGTTTTAATGATGATCTGTCGTGGGATAGTTCTATTTTGATCTGGGTCTGTTTGGTGTCCTGGAGGCCTCTTGCATCTGTATGGGAATATCTTTCTCTAAATTTAGGGAAATTTTCTGTTATTATTTTGTTGAATATATTACGCATTCCCTTTGCTTGCACCTCTTCTCCTTCTTCGATGCCCATGATTTCTCAAGTTTGTCTTTTTGATGGAGTCGGTGAGTTTCTTGCATTTCTTCTACAAGTCTTGAGTTGTTTAATTAATAGTTCTTCGGTTTTTCCTTTAATTACCCTCTTCATCTCTCGAGTTCTGAGATTCTGTGTTCTGTTTGTTTTTGTTGTTCTGCTGGATTGGCCTTCTGTTTTGTTTTGCAATTCTGTTTCATTCTTTTTTTCTGAGGTTTTCCATATCTGGGTGGTTTCCTCTTTAATGTTGTCTATTTTTTTCCTGAGTTCATTTATCTGTTATTAATCTGTATTCTCTGCTTCATTTGGTGTTTATACAGTGCTTTCTATGGTTTCCTTTATTTCTTCCTTTGGTTTTTCAAATCTCTATTTTTGTTGTCTTGGAATTTCTTTGAGTGTTTTCCTTTTTTTTGGTTGACCCTATCCAGTATCATCTCTATAAATTCTCATTGAGTACCTGTAGTATGTCTTCTTTTAAATTATTCTTGGGCTTTCATTGGGTTCTTTGGCATAGTTTATCTTCATTTGTTGGAGTCTGGATCTGAGTATCTTTTTCTTCATTCCCCTCTGTTTCCTGTACTGATCTTTTGCTGTGGGTAAACTGGTTTCCCTGTTTTTTCTGTCTCCTGTCATTGTCCTTGGTTTGTTACTGTCCCTGTACTGTGTGCAATTAGTATTTTCTAGCTTGTAATAATAACAATGGTAATATTTAGAATGGAAGGGTGAGAGGAGATGGAAAGCAAGAAGTTAAAGAAAGGGAAAAAACAGACAAGTATGGAGTAACAAACAAGGAATCAAACAAGAACTTTCAAAGGTTAAACAGGAATCGTTAGTGTACTAATCGACAGTAACTGTCCGCGTCTTCCCAAGCCGTCTGGGTGCAGGCAAACTGGTGGCCCGGGGGCCCTCCTGGTTTCTCCGCTTAATGTAAAGTGGAGAATTCTCTGCGCTGGCTTGGAAGTGTGGAGGGGTCAAAGTTTTGCCTCTTCTCGGTGGTTTTGTCTTGCAAGTGTGTCTCTAGCATCTCTCCAAATTTCACTATTGGAGGCACGCTTTCTGCTTCCTCCCTCTAGCCGCCATCTTGGAATCTCCCCCTAACAGTGTTCTTTCATAAACCAATAAAGGTAAACCTCTTATTACACAGAATTCTTCAGTTGTAGCCTAATGCTCTCATTTCTAAATTAGAGATAAAATAATAGTAATACCTACTGTGTATATTGGGGAATTTAAAAAGATAAAGTAACAACATCATGTGCTCAGATTGAAGCCATAGAAGTGGAGCAGATGCTAAAAAAAAAAAAAAACAGAATATTTGGTTGATGCTACTATAATTATCATGACAATCATTCTTCTGAACATAGAATAACAAATTAGTCATTTCTTGTTTTTGGTTTTACTGATAAAGAGAAGGGAAAGGCAGTTGAGAGAACACATGCTAAAGATTATAAATTGTTGGCTGTTTAGCTCTGGCCTCTCGATCATACTCATGACCCTCCCAGCTACTCTATGAGACAATGTCTTATTCTCCATTTTAGAGACCCAGAAAAAGGCACCAAGAGACTAACTGTGTGTTTGCCAAGTACTCACCATTGCCCAGTGAAGGAGCTGATTCTCAATCCTGGGCCGAGTTCACAAGTCTAGCCCGTGGATCTCAGCAGTTTGTTTCTAGCATTGTAGATCACATGCCTTCCATTCCCTCTTTTCTTTCCATTCCAAATATTGCAGAAAAGCAGGTTAAGCAATCATACCACTTACTGAGTCAACACCCTTCAAGAAGTTTCCCTCTGTGTCAGGGAAATAAAACTACACACAAGATACAACTAGATATAAAACAGTAAGAGAACCATTAAAATAACATTGAAATGAAAAACTAAATAGGATCAAGTCAAGACTGATCTTGGTTGTGCTACTCCTCTGTTTTTTGTAGCGTTTTGAACACAGCTCTGTTACAGCACTCAGTTCATTCTATTTTACTTATCTTAACTTTGGCTTTGGTGTACTAATCCACAGCATATTCGTAACATATATTAGAAGATTTGTAAAGTCCAAATCATGTGACAGGTACATGAGTTTCCTAAAACATCTCCCATCAAACACTGTGTGTGATTTATTCTAAGGGAAGAGGGGACCATTCTACAATCAAATAGGCTTAGAAAGCCTCAGATATCTTTCCCTCCCTTGTGAAATACAATGCATGTCAGCACCTATGCGCAGTCTTAACGCAAATGCACATGGTTAACTGCAGCTTCTCCAAACTCCGTATTAACAGAACACATTTTAGAAAAGTAACTACAAATAATGACTGTGGGTATCAACAAGGGAATAGTTGTCAGGAAATATTTCCTGGAGGAGGCAAAATTTTAAAAGTAGCTGTGAATGATGGTTGAAGTTTATGAAGTCAAGACATATGAAGAGTTCAATATTAATTAGGAACAGACAAGAGTTGGTACCGAGAGTTAGTGTTAGAGGTTTTAAAATATGATGAGAAATTCAGGAATTGTTCTCTAGGAAATGACATATCATTTGTAAGTTCTTAATCAAAAGCTCATATGAGTTGTTCTTCTAAAATATATTTAACTATTTTTCCAGATATTATAGTCCTACATTTTTTCAAAGGAATTTTTGCAGCCTTCCAAACAGTTTTTCCATAACCTATAAAGTCAGTTTTGAATGTGAGAATTTTAAAAATCCCAGTATTGTAGGAATGCTCAAGTAGTAAAAAAAATGAAAACAGGACTTTTCTGCCTTTACAAAATACACTTTACAGTCATAAGAGCATCCATTTTCTACCATATTCTCTGCACGGGTTATGTCTACAAAATGTCAAGCATGTGAATGAAGGCTCACCTCAGTGGAGACCATGAACATGGACTTTTAAAGAATAGTTCTTTCAGGTGCTGATGGCTCACATCCTGTAATCCTAGCTACTCAAGGCATAGATAAGGAGGATCAGGTTTAAGCCAGCCAGGCAAATAGTTTTCACAAGGCCCTGTCTAGAAAAACCCATCACACAGAAAAAAGGGACTGGTGGACTGGCTCAAGGTGTAGGCCTGAGTTCAACCCCACTGGAAAAAAAAACCAAAAATGGTTTTGGTTCAGCCAGAAGTACATTCTGTTATAAACCCTTTTTAACCAAATAACATGGTATCACCCTTCTGTTTTGCCATGTAATCAAGGTAAAGTCAAGATGTGGTAGTATGTGATTTTAATAACCTGGTTTTACCCCTGACTGAATAAACGTTTTCATTTATTATTCATTTCTTAGGAATGTAATTACTTTCAGTCAGCAGTGTATACCTATGCATATTTATTTCTTCAATAAACTGAGCATCTAGTTTATCATGAACAGTGCTATAGGTCCTTTGTATATCTGTCTTTTCTGATATCATTGTTAGATCACAATAAACGACCCTTTTAAACATAGTTTCCATAATAGAGATATCAAGCAATGCTTTATATCAGAAATATAACCATAAGTATAAAATACTTTGCTTTATTATTGTGCTTGCTTAAATGCTATTTTGCTTTGTGTGGGACGGTGTACATTCATTCTAATGGATATTTATTGTCCTACCAAAGTCAGCATTTTACATTCTTAAATTGACTTATTTGGCTTTTGTAGGGGAGGATACAGGAAGATACATGTTTGGCATCCAGTCCTGCAGAGATGATGATAAGAATATTTAGTGAGGTGCATGGTAATTGGGCAAGAAATCCTATGTTCACCACACACTAGTTAGAGCGTACATAGCAATCATAAGATACGGTCATAATTAAGAATGCATAATTTTCAAATCTGATTCATATATTTGATTAATGAATGCTATTTGGGAATCAGTTTGAGTTATTTATCTTTTTCTGATAGTAATTCATTCATTGACTTCAATAATACAACATAAATTATATAATGAAAGTAAAAAATAACTCTGATTCTTATCATACCAGAGATATGATATTTTTACAGTAAATGTTTTGTTATAAAACTGGGATCATAGCAGGCACTGGGTGTGTGCCGTGTCTCAGCTACTTGGGAAGTGAAGCAACAGGACTTTGAGCCTAGGGTTGGAGGCTAGCCCAGCAACCCTGCTCTTAAAAAAATATGATCATACATGGGCTGACAGGTGGCTCAACGTGGTAGAGCACCTACCTACCTAGCAAGCATGATGCCATGAGTTCAAATCCCAGTACTGCCAAAAAATACTGTGATCATACAGAATATAGTATTTCAGTTGTTTTGTCTGTTTGTGTTTGTGCTTCTGCTAATAAATATTTTTTGTAGCATCATTTTTAGATTGCAGAGTATCCTAGTTTTATTTTTCTTTTTGGAGTCTTAGGCAGTTTCTACATTTTCAGCAATACTGCAGACTAAGCCTGTCCCTTTTTTTTATTTGAAATTTCTGTAAGACACTTGCTTAGTAATACTTACATGTATATACACACTCACACAACACACACACACACCCGCACAGCACACTTCTTAAGGTTTTGAAGCTTACTGCCCTGTCACAAATTATTCATAGTTGAATGACTGGCAGTGAAACTGTCCAGAATTTCAGAGCCTCCTCTCTCACCACCCACAAATTAGACCTGACATAATTGACATGTAATCAGAATCACTAAAATATTTGTTGCATCAAGGAAACTAGGTGTATTTCTGGCAGTTTGATGGCGCTCCTGGTTTGGTCATTTTTAAATTTAACATTCAGAGAATGATTACCCAGTGTGGAATCTGGCAACGGACTTCTTTGTGCTCCATTGTCTTTACCTGTCAAACACTGACAATAACATGATTATTTATCCTATCATTCATGTAATTTTTGGAAGGATATCATTACTCTATTTTTGTAGAAGTGCTAAATAGAGCTTTTAAAAAAAATTCCAGTTATCTGCAATATAAGTTGAGTGATGTTTTAAATTTATGTCTCTTATTTCATATAGCAAAACTAAAATTTGTTGGGTACCAGTAAGTTAGATCATTTCACATTCAATTTATTGGAAGCCTTTAATGTTTGTTCTCTTACCTAGTACCGCCTAACATTGTGGGAACTGACGAGCCCCAGGATTTCACTGTGTTACGGAACAGACAAGTGACTTTGGAATGCAAATCAGATGCAGTGCCTCCTCCTGTGATTATGTGGCTCAAAAGTGGAGAGCAGTTACAGGTAAATCTTTTTTACTAAGCTGCACAGATTCATTTTTGAGACAAAGAGCTGTGGAAGTATTTGCTAGGTGGAAAAACCAATTAACCCAGCTATCCAGCACTGCAGAGCAGACACAGGCTCTTTCATAGCATGCCTTCTCTCCTCCAGTTTTGCTTAGGAGTTGGTTATGGCTCAAGACAGTATTTAGATTCATGACCTCTGGAAATTGACCTGTGGATATATCCCTTAGAGCTCACAGATTAAGTCCAATTATTTTACCTAGAGAGGAACCATCAAAATCTCAAAAGAACTGATCTATCTGCTACCCTTTTTTTTTTTTTTGCAGTATTGGGTTTGAACTCAAGGCCTTAAATTTGCTAGCAGGCACTCTACGCACTTGAGCCATTCTGCCATTCCCTGGTTGAGAGCTTTGACTTTGAAGCCTGTGATTGTCCTCACACTGGTGGTTTCTTCCAGCAAAGTCCTAAGGAGGGCTGCCATAGT